TGTCATGATGTGCTCAGTGTTTGTTAAGCAAAAGAGAATGCTGCTTGCTTGTAACAGCAGGGAATTGCATTTGGGCTTTCTATTGATATTGGTTGTTCCTTAAGTTAAGCAGTCAAACAAGTAATTCTTGAAAACCTAAAGCTATTGGAATAGCCAGAATTTTGCTGACAGTGATTCTACCATTTAAAAACGAGGATCCGAGCATCATCCAAACTACCCTGAAAGTCTTGATTTATATTCCAAATGTATGATTTCAGTCCAGATCAATTTATACCTAAAATACACCCATTGAAATATGAAGGACTTAAGGCCAACATCACTAGTTTAAGTCCCATTGATATCAGTAGGTTTACTTAAAGTATATAACTAAGGGTGCATCTACACCAGTGGTTCCCAGCCCGTGGTCCGCAAGAACTAAAATATGGTCCACGGCCTCACCGTAACTACTCCGGTACAACAAGAGTGACTGGTCTCGCAAAACCATCATGTAGTGCTGGGGCTAATAAAATATGGATTTCTGTGGGCGAGAAGATGGCGACTATTGGATAGCATATGTTCTGTATCAGAAACTATTATTTATTTACTTACTTCATTTATATACCGCTTTTCTCAGCCCTCAGGCGATTCAACTAGAGCTGATGTAATCTGTCCAATGCAATTTTTTGATTCAGTGCCCCAAATAACCAAACCAGGTCTAAAGTTGGCCAAAAGCTGATTCGTAACACTTTTGGTACTAATGTTGGAGAGTGGTCCCTGGTCAAAGTGGTCCCTGGTCAAAATAAGATTGGGAACCACTAAGTCTATGTATTTAATGTATAGTTTGATTACTGACTGCAATAAATCAAACTATACATTGAATATTATATAGAGGTTTTAGTCCTTATAGATTGCCTCCAATTGTTGATATACATTGGCTAGTTTAATCCTTTGGAAACATTGTTTTTTGTTGACTTCTCTTGGGTAACCAGTATATATTTTGTGTATCTCATCCTGAAGTGTAATTTGGCTTGTGTTTTGTCCCCCCTCAAATCCCATAGCATCATCAAAGATAGCAATCTTAGAATATCTACCTTTGGCACTGCTGCTATATGTACGTATCTCCCGACATTCAGAACATTTTCTTTCAAAGTACCACATAGAAGGAAAACTGTCCAATTTATTTCCAGTTAGACCTAATCAACTTCAACTGTCCATGGGGTGTTGACTGCGTGCAGTTGGGAAAACTGCAATATACATATTTTCCTTCACAACAATGTTCCTGCGTTTCTTTTGTCTTGATACTAGATTAGTAATGACTCCCAAATTTATCTGAAGTAGTTTTTACAATATTTTTTTGTCATTAAAAACAACAACAAAACATTCTAGCCATCTCACAGTTCATAGTATTTGAACATCCCTTATCCAACATTTCCAAATATTCCAAATTGTAAAGGTGTCTATATGGGTGGCTGAGATAATGATGTCTTTGTTTTTGGTAGTTCAATATACACACACTTTGTTTCATGCCCAAAAATATTTAAAAGATGGTATAACATTACCTTCAGTCTATGTATATAAAGTTTATGTGACACTTAAATCAATTTTCTGTTTTTATTTGGGTCCCATCTCCAAGATAGCTCATGAATTGGGTTCCATCTCCAAGATGTCCTGTGATGCGCATAATGATATCCCAGATTAAAAAACAGCAATGAAATCCAAAATACTTCTAGTCCCAAACAGTTCAGATAAGGGACATTCAACCTGTATATCCTATATTTTTTATTATTAAGTTATTTTTTTGTCATGTCAGAAGTGACTTGAGAAACTGCAAGCTGCTTCTAGTGTGAGATAATTGACCATCTGCAGGGACGTTGCCCAGGGGACGCCCAGGTCTTTTACTATCCTGTGGGAGGCTTCTCTCATGTCCCTGCATGGGAAGCTGGAGCTGACAGAAAGAAGCTCACCCCATCCCGTGGATTCGAAGCACAAACCTTCAGGTCAGCAGTCCATTGCACCACCATGGCTCCTTTTATTAAATTGTAAGATGCCAGTAATACTAGAGTTCTGCTACACATGTACTTCTGTAAGGACCTGGATAAAAGGAATGAAACCCTTTGTGAAACAAGACTGCTTGTTCTGGTAGAATGACCTCCTTTGAGACATCTCGTAACAAAGAAGGTTGATCTCCATAGGTAGAACATAGGCACCATCTCCTGTTACAGGCTTCATTTTCATGTCCCAGGTACATAACCCTGCTGGAAAAAAAGCAATTTGATGGCACATACTAGTTAGTACTTGACTCAGTACCTGGAGCAGAACAGCAGCATAATCAACATGGAGAATTTTTGGATGTATCAGGCTGAGTTTCTTAGAGGAATGGTATGTAAATTCTGGTGACTGATCACTTTTTAAAACTTAGACTCTGAAAGTATTCTGTCTACAGGGTATGAAATCAATAAGACTGTGTTTTATCAAAAAGTATGGTGTTGATCTGATTTCCTTAGATAAAGGATGAAGTAGAAGCATCCATTATCTTACTTAGTCTGGCCTTTTTATTGTTCCTGCCTCAAAATGTGTGATAGGATTAATAGAATATTTCCTAGACTGATACATAGAAGAATGACTGTGCATTCTAAGTGATGCTGAAAATCAATGGTGGTATGGTTTTTTGGGTTTTTTTTTTGGCTGATTGTGCAGAAATGTACAATTTAATACCTTTAAATCCTGCAATAGTATATCATTTTTGTAATGGTAGAATATGGACAGGTTTTGTGGGTTTGAACGGGGTTGTGAAGTTGTCATCCTGTGATCCATTACCCACATTTCTTATGTCCCAATGTCACCTTGTTATGTAAGAATCCAAAAACTTACAAAACCTTTATAAAAACCATACAAAAACCCAGAGGGGAGATAGTGCACATTACTAGCAACCATTTTTCTTTTGGATCTCTTCAGTTGTCTAAAAAAAATTGTATCTCTGTGCACATTAACCTTGGGTCTATGACAACAGCCACTCTTTTTTGCAAGGCTAGAAGGAGGAAAAACTTAAGAGTTGGTCCTCACATTGGGCCATAGATACTCAATAGAAATCTATTTCTGATTGTGCCCATCCTGTTTTATCCATCACATATGATCTTGACCTACAACATAAATAAATATCTGGTAGCTCTCATAGTGGATGTTTAGTCAGAGATACATGACTTGTTTCTCTCCCTGGATGTGACTGATATTTTGTCTTCCTCACTCAGACATACACATTCTTTATCTGCATTATTTAGAGAAATTTTCATGTATTTAATAAGTGGGCTCCCTTTGGGTGTACGCGTAGAATGGGTGCATTTCAACACTGCTTTAATGGCTAGGGCACATTTCTATGGAACCGCAAGAGTTGTGGTTTGACAAGGTCTTTAGCCTTCTCTGCCAGAAGGTGCTGCAACAAACTACAAACCCCAGGATTCCATAAGTTGACCAACAGCACTTAAAGTGGTGTCAGACTTCATTAATTCTACAGTGTAGATGCACCCTGAGCCAGACCTGTGGCTCTTTCCATACTACACAATTGTAGCCTTAGGTTTTCACTTCAGAGTCCAGAAACATCAAGGAGAGAGCACTAATGCCTCAACCAAACTAAAACAAACAAATAGGATTCCAGAGGATGCACCTATGGCGGTTAAAGTGGGAGTCATACTGCTATAACTGAGTACTATGAAACGGTTACTGATTAGTTCTGATAGCAAGTTGGCTTCTGGCCCTTTCAAACCAGGCTCTCTTGGCACCAAAGGGCATTCAGGATGAGAAAGGTAGAAGATGAAAACAAGGAGAAACAAGAGTTGCTTCCTTACCCTTGAAATATGTTGGTTGCCATTGGAGCTCTGTAGTATAAATGAAGCACAGAACTAGTTTGAGTTGTATAGTTTCAGCGTTTTTATACATTTTGAAAATGAAGCATTTTGAAAGCATCTGTGTTTTCAACAATGTAAGTCACGTTATGAAAAAAAACTTTAGTAGGACTCTACTCTGCAATGATAAGCCATCACATTGTCAATCTGCGAGCATCTGGCTTGGATCCTTATTTTACATTGTGTTAAAACTGAGCAGAAGGAAAGTAAAAAAGAGATTTTAAGTTTTATTTTCAAACTCATTTTAGGTAATAGCAGGATTTAAAGCAGTGGTTCCCAACCTTTTTTTGATCAAGGACCAGTTGACCGGGGACCACTTTAACCAGGCACCACTCTCCAACATTAGTACCGAAAGGGTTATGAATCAGTTTTTGGTCAACTTTAGATTCGGTTTGGTTATTTGGGGTGCTGATTCAAAAAAACCGCATTGATGAGTCTTCTCCGCCCTGGTCTGGAAAGCCTCCCAAGGCTGAGAAAGCTCTAGCGAGGGTGAGGGCAATGTGCTGGCATTTCCTTCCTTCCTTCTCTCCCTTTCCTTCATTCCATCGCTCTCCTCCAACGGCGGCACACATCCCCGGCACCGATTTTCCCCGCATGTCTCACGGCCCTTATTTTGGGTCTCGCTGGCCACAGGTTGGGAACCACTGATTTAAAGGGTTTTTAAAGTCTGATCCGTACTATGAATTTAGTTTTGCTACTGTTAAGTTTATGTGGGTTAATACAATATACAGTATTATCAATATTCAGGAAGCAAATATTTAATTAAGCCTTGAAAGGTTGCTGTGAAATCAATAAGAATTACTTCTAAATAAACGTGTTCCATCCATAAATGAGATTTGTAGAATTTTGTAAATTGTTTACATTTACAGGACTCTGAAGCATTAATTCTGCATCATTGCAGGTTGTGATTCTATGCAGATTTTCAGTTTATACCATTTAATTGCCAATAAATATAAGTCTAAAGATAATTGGTGGGAGTTTGCTTGACAAATTTTATCGAGATTTTTCCTTATTGAGAAGTTTCCTACTTAAATTTCAGTTCCAATTTTTTAAAAAGCAACAGAGAAATACAATCTATTGTTGTTTCAGGATTTATTTCATTGTATATCCTTTTATATCTAGTCTCCATCTCCTGATTCATCTTCACCTCAAGGTGCTGAATCATCAAGTGTTCAACATCACCAAGATGTCTGCGGTACAGCAGAAACCCCCACCAATAAGGAGGTAAAGTGCAGCATTTTTTTTAACAAAGAGTGCTTTTACTGGAAACACTTTTCATGTTTTGAATAATTTGTGTTCTGTGCATTATTTAATACAGGGAATGCTTTTTTTAGATGTGTATTTGTCTCCTGAAAATGATAGTTCCTTCATGCCTTTTGTGATTTAGGCTGCAACCTTATTACACTAAATACTAAATTGCATACATTTGAATAAGCAGACTGGTGTAAGAATGCAAAATAAGCAGCCTGGTGTAAGAAGCATTGATCATGTATGCAAATGCCATTAAAATCTTTATACTTAGTTTTCAGTAAATGTTCCTTCAACCGTCATGTTAGAAGGATTGATGCAGTTCCCCTTTAAAAGATCTCCCCTTTAAAAGTGTGGTCTGTCTTCCAGTAAAGATGACCAAACCACCCACTTTTGCTTTCTCATACCATCACACTTTTCACAGATTCTTTCTATCTCCTTTATGAACAGACTTAAGGGGGTTTGTTTTGTTAAATTGTTATAATAAACTAATCAAATGCAAGTCTCAGTCAACTGCAATGGCTAAATTCAAAAATTTCCAGTGTAGGGTTGTTGTGGTTGTTGTGTAATTGTTGAAGCTTTTTCCCATTCCTTTTTTTTTGCCTTTTTTTGTTAAACACATATACACAGAAAACACAAAATGAAGCCAAGTGTATTTTAATTAGGCTAGAACACTGCTTCTTAAATGGTGGGTCCCGACAGAGTGCCTTAGTTCAGTGTTGGGGCCCGGAAAAAATTGGCAACAGTAAAAGGCTTCTCGATACCACCTAGTGACTGTTTTAGACATTTACACTACTCTGTGGTGCAGTGTTTACAGTGGACTCTGCAAAAGATGCTTCAGCTGTGCTTCATATAAAGCAATGTTTCCCAGCCTGTTTTTGACCAGGAACCACTCTCCAACATTAGTACCAAAAGGGTTACAAATCCATTTTTGCTCAGCTTTAGATTCGATTTGGTTATTTGAGGTGCTGATTGATTTAGAACTTTTATATCCCGTTCTTCTCTACCTCTGTGGAGGGACTCAGAACGATTCAGGAAATTGCATTGGGTATACCACATCAGCTCTAGTTTCTGATACAAAACACATTCCATCCAGTAGTCACCATCTCCCCCCCCCCCTCCCCACACACACACACAGAAAACCATATTTAATCATCTAGAGCTGATATGGTAGTAGTATTTATTTTATTTATTTATCTTATCAGGAACGAACCAAGAGCACAGTTCTAATATATTTTTAAAAAAACAAACTTTAGAAACTTGTCATTATATTAAATGTCCTTTGACCAGTAGCTGGCCACTTGGAGTGCCTCTAGTGTTGCTATAAGAAATTCCCCCATTGTACATGTGGCAGGGCTCAGATTGCATTGTAATAGTTGGTCCATGGTTTGCTCTTCTCAACACTCGCATGTTGTGGACTTTACTTTGTGGCCCCATTTCTTAAGGTTGGCTCTGCATCTTGTGGTGCCAGAGTGCAGTCTGTTCGGTGTCTTCCATGTCACCCAGTCTGTGTGCCCAGGGGGGAGTCTCATTTGGTATCAGCCATGAATTGAGGTTCCGGGTTTTAGCCTGCCACTTTTGTACTCTCGCCTGCTGAAGTGTTCCTGCGAATATCTCTGTAGATCTTAGTGGTGGTAGTAATCTTTTGTGGGTAGTCAACCTCTCACCTCCCAATATCCCCATTGCCTTGACACTATAAAAGGGTTTCGCAAGACCAGTTGCACTTGTTGCTGTGTGGTTTTGAGGCCACGGTGTAGTAATGGTGAGGCCGCAGACCATGCTTTTGTTCTTGCGGACCACTGGTGGTCCACAGACTACAGGTTGGGAACCACTGATATAAAGGAAAATCAGCTTGATTAGCGAGCCTTTGATTGTTATACTTATTTTTTATACCCGGGGTCACATAAACATTTCTTGGGCTGAAAGGAGTTGCGAGTGGGAAAGTTGAATAAGCCCTCATTCAAAAGTATGAAATACAGCAAAGCCCATATCCACAGTTTCACCACCCTATGTTGGAGTAAAATGGTCTCTCTAGACAATTGCTAGGCCCACCAGGCCTGAAGTTGCATTGGAAGACCACATCAATTCTTGAGAAAGGTATCTCTATGAATCATCCAGTGAAACTTCATGGTTTGCTGGGACCAAAAGTGAAATAATTTCATATCCCCGGTTTTATGTAACTGCAGTCCAGCTGGGAATGCATCCTCTGTGGATATGAGAGTCTTACTCTATGTTGGATGTCTTTCCCTTTCTGTCTGCCCCCTTTTGACAAATATTCTATGTGGATAACTGTTGGATTAAGTTAGAGAAGTTTTGCCTTCACAGATTTTTTGTAACATCAGTTATTTAAACAGAGGTAGTAGTAGTCAAGAGATTACATCATTTTATTTGAAGTAAAGTCTAATAGAAATGTGTAAAATCTACTCTCAAAGAAGGAAGGAATCAAGATTAATGGTGGTGATGGTAGTAGCAGTAGTAGTAGTAGTAGTAGTAGTAGTAGCAGCAGCAGCAGCAGCAGCAGTAGTAAAGCTTTCATATCAGTTAATTGGCAACTGTATTTTTTCTACCACTAAGCTTTTTTCAGTAATACTATTTGTTCTTCTGCTGCTTTATTATCTCTGCCTACTCATATGCAGAAGATAAACCACTTTAATCTGCTCATGGCAATTGGATGAATGATTTAGAATGATATTAGTGTAGGAAAATCAAAACAGAAGCAGCATAATATATCAGATGGTCACAGAAGCAGGGTTTTTTTCTAAAAAAATAAATGTCGGTTTCATCCCAACACTTAATTTCCTCAAATGGTTTTCTCAGCAGGAGGTCCTGAGTTATTTGGTAGTAACTCTTTCCTGCATGTGACATTATTCTCATGGAACTGAATTTCCTGAGATATTATGGCCTTATCTGACATTTTTCTCAGAAATTACTGTTTTCCATATCAATTTAAAATTTTAATTTTTGGGGGCAGGGGAAGTATGCAAACAATACAAATGATCTGAGTGGCCTGATCCTTTCTGTTGTGAGAGCTGACTGCATTTATAGATGTACATCTTCATTTTCCAGTGGAAATAGTTTACCTAAGGAAATTAACTCCTTTATTTCTGTACTGTCAGCACTCTCTGATCAGGAATAAAGTACGACAGTACTAACTTTGGGTTGAAATCAAACATGTTTGCTGAGAAGTAACTCCAATAATAAATGGTGAGTGGGGATGTACATTTCAAACTCTCTGTGGATGCATCTACACCTTAAAATTAATGTGCTCTATATACTCGAGTATAAGCTGAACCGGATATAAGCCGAGGCACCTAATTTTACCACAAAAAATGGTGAGTGAGGATGTACATTTCAGTCTCTCTATGGATGCATCTACACCTTAAGATTAATGTACCGTACTCAAGTATAAACAGACCAGAATATAAGCCGGGTCACTTAATATTACCACAAAATACTGGGAAAACATATTGATTCGAGTATAAGCTGAGGGTGGGAAATACAGCAGCTACTGGTAAATTTCAAAATAAAAATAGATACAATAAAATTACATCAATTGAGGCATCAGTAGGTTAAATGTTTTTGAATATTTACATAAAACTGTAAGTTAAGATAAGACTAACTCTGATTACACCACTATTCTAACCTTCTTCAATGTAAATGTGCTTATGTATTCTTCTAATAATAATATAATAAAATAATAAATGTAATAATAAAATAGAGTAAAAGAGTAAATGTAATAATACAAATAGTAAAATAATGTAAATGTAAAAATAATAGATCAAAATAATAAATGGAAATGTAATAATAATAATAATAAATAGAGTAAAATAATAAATGTAATAATAACAATAACAATAACAGAGTAAAATAATAAATAATTGACTTGAGTATAAGCCGAGGGGGGCTTTTTCAGCCTTAAAAAAGGGCTGAAAAACTCGGCTTATACTCAAGTATATATGGTAGTTTGACTACTCTTGCACTGCAATGGCTCGGTGCTATGGAATTATTTACAAGATCTTTAGCCTTTCCCCCAAAGAGTGTTGGTGTTGGACCAAACTACAGTTTCCAGGATTCCATAACATGGAGCCTTGGCAGTTCAAGAGGTGTTGAACTCCATTAATTTGCACCCTATAATGCACCCTACAACAGGAATTGGCAACTTTGCTGAGTCTGGGAGCCATTCCTCACCTGAACCTGTTGTAAGTCGTGCATGAGTCCCACAGACGTATTGCCACTGCTACATACTGCTGAAATTTGGCAATAGGAGGAATCAAGAATTCATTTCCAACTCTTTTAAAACAGTAAAATATTGCTTCTGGAAGTATCTGGAAGCATAATTCTCTTTAAAACAAGGTGCACATATCCCTATGCATTGTTTCAAACTTTCGAAAGTGGTTTTGAGTACCTCCACAATTGATGCAGGTATAATCAAAATAAACAGAAATATGCATATATCTTTTTTTGCTTAGCCCTTCTCTAGAAATCTTTTTCATTTCAGCCTTGACCTTGAGAAATATATTCTGTTCAGCTACTTTAATAGTTCTAAACAAATTATTTGTCCTAAAGCTTACTCTTAAGTAATATCAGTTGCAGATATTTACAGTACATTATTGTGTTGCCTTGTTAGTCTATTTAAGGTTGCTGCCTGAATCCACTACAGTAGTTCAGAAGTACATTAACACTTCAGCAAAGAAAAAGATTAGTGAGAAGGTTTTTCACACAAATGGGTCTATACATTTAAGCCCTTGACCTTTAGCACACTGCTGGATATTTTAGCCTTTGTGTTATTTGCCACTATTTCTGTTTGTGAAACGTGTGTAGCAGCATCTTTGCTTTCGTAAACCATATCATGCATACTAAAAGCAGCTTGGAAATGGCTTATTGATGCTAATGGTGTGTAGTACACTCCAGGGTAACTTCTTAATAATTAACAGATACTTTGAGAAATGTATAATATTTCTTAATAATCTAACCTCAGAGACTGGGTAACAGCTGTCATTGTGTAATGAATAACTTTGCCAGTTCTGCATGAAATACATTTTAATGCATACCTCAGCATGCTTAGTTTGGTTTGACATCCTGTTTGTCTTAATTACAGTCAAGAAAAAGCTTGGCTTCTTTCCCAACCTATGTTGAAGGTAAGCTTTATCTTTAAATTTAATGTTTAAAAAAGTTTTATAAAATTTTGATGTAAGTACAAACTGGGACAAAAGTTTTCTAAAATAGAGAATTGTATGTTAGAGATGAGTCAGAATTATGTAGCCTGATCTCCTGAAATGGCTGTTCTTTGTGTCCACAGCCCTTTCATTCTTGGAAATTATGGCTATGATTCCAATAAATGCCATAGTTCCATCCTATTTAATCCTGGGATTTGCAGTTCAAGGCGGTGGGTTTTATTATAAGCCAGATATCACTAGTTCTTCAATAGAGTGGATCATACTACTTGAGGCTATACATGAAAGATGGCATCACTGAATGCTTCTTCATTTAAGAAAATACCATAAACAGTAATCCTGCCAGTTTTAAGAAAAGTAGAACAACTACCCTTTTCCACCAAAGGAAAGGGGTCTAACTTTGGTCATTCCTTTTGCACCTACCACAGTCCAAGTCAGTTCTTCCTAACTCTCCAGCCCATCCCAGCTAGTACATTCTCTAGGAGTGGAGCTTCTGCTATTATCGTTAGGAATTTTGGTTCCTAATGTAGATAATGAGACAATCCAGATCGGGATTATAACAGGAAAGATAAGAAAAGCCTTCATTCACAATACTGTGATCCTCAAAGAAGAAACAAGACTGCTTTTTAAGGAAGGAAGGAGCATCCAGTCATTTTATTTCGTTTGAATCATTTTAACTTGACCAGAGGTGGCCCCATGAGACCTTTTAAGCATTGCATGGGGTTCAACCTCTTCTCAGATTAGATTCAGTGAGAAAAAGTTGGGTTGCTGGAAACTTGTTTACACCTTTTTATTGAGTTCGCTGAATATATATTTAATTGCAGTTTGTTCTTTTCAGAGGTTACAGTGGTATCAGCAAGTACCACACGTCCAGTTAATAACTGGAGAGCAGTAGGAGTTTGCTGGTTATGTTTATTTATTTATCATGTCAGAAGCAAATTGAGAGTACAGTTATAATGTATTTAAGAAAACACAAAGAAAGTTTAAAACTTGGCATTATACTAGATTTCCTTTAACCATTTGGAGTGCTTCTGGTGTTGCTGTGAGAAGGTCCTCCATTGTGCATGTGGCAGGGCTCAGACTTCATTGTTGTAGGTGGCCTGCGGTTTCCTCTTCTCCACACTCGCATGCCATGGACTCCACTTTGTGGCCCCATTTCTTAAGGTTAGCTCTGCATCTCATGGTGCCAGAGTGCAGTGCTTCTGCTGTGAGAAAATCAGCTGTCTACAAAGACGTGGCCCAGGAAATGCCCAGATGTGTTATGATCCTGCGGGTAGGCTTCTCTCATGTCCCCCGCTGGCTATGTTGTAGAGCTTGAAGAAGCTGCTTTTTTGAAACCACCATTCCCAGAATCTTTTAGCTAGCCTAGCAATGTAATGGTTTTAAATATAAACCTTACATTTATTTTATTTTAAATTCCTCCATATACTCACTTTGATACAAATATGTCATCGAAGGGATGTGCATTTGCAGGTTTGGGCTTACTGAAATCCAGGCATCCCTGTATGTATAATAAAAAAATATTTTCCAGGTTAAAATCACTAATAGCCTTATTATTGAAATTGACGTGTACTACAAATCAAATATAGGGCATATACATGGTGCCAGAGATCCAGACTAGCTAACTTGCCTCTGTTGATGTACTAGGTCAAAAGTGGACCGGATATGAAAGCACTTTCAGGCAGGTTTGTTGGTGCATGCTGATACAGTCAGCACCAAAACCAGTAATAATAAATAACAATGTCTGCATGCTTTTTTGTTGTCAACTAAATTCTGTTCAAGCTTAGTATTTTAACAAGTTTTTTGGGCTTTCTAAAGTGTCCTAGATCACTCTCACCTATCAATGAAAAACACTGAAATAACATCAACAGAGTGTGATACCTCATTGGTGTGGAAATGCTAAATCATAACAAGAATTATATGGAGACTTTTTTTTTTGCAAAGTTTTCAGATTTTGTACAAATTTTTCACCAAAAAGTCCTGAAGCTGAAAAAGCATTGGAAAATGTGCAGAAACTCACCCAGAGGGCATGACGACTTTAGGAACTCTTCATCCTTGCATGCGATTTATCTCTCTAGGTGAGAGATAGTGCTTTTCCTAAGGTCATCTGAGGCCCCTTCTACACTGCTATATAAAATCCAGATTATCTGCTTTAAATTGGATTATATGGCAGTGTAAACTCATATAATCCAGTTCAAAGCAGATAATATGGATTATCTCCTTTGATAATCTGGATTGTATTGCAATGTAGAAGGGGCCTGAGTTTCCTGTCTTAGTGGGGTTTAAATCTACATCTCCCCTCCTACATAAATAACCAATTCTAGAATTCAACATCAAGTTTGCTTAAAGTATAATAGTGTCTTATGCAATGTTAGTGAAAATTAAATCATGTTCAGCCTGAAAAACTTACAGCAACCCAAATCATGTTCAGTTTACTGGGATATGCTTCTGTGAAAATTATGTGTTGTCTTAATTGTGTCACATGGATATAATTGTTTTATCCATGTGCAATTATAGTTTGCTTTTAACATAGTTGCAATCCTGGCTGAACACTAATACTGTTTTAAATTAAAGTTTCATATTTTACTTAGCACATATGGTTTTTTCTTGTATTACTGAAAATTAGTTTCAACATGTAGGTATTAATTTTGTGCAGTTCCTTTGGAGTTCTACATTTTTTTCTGAATAACTTCATCATTTGACAAATAATGCTTTCATAGCAACATGACAGCATTTTTTATGATCCTAGCAACATTGCTAACAGAACCTTGCACAACATGAACCTTCAAAATGTTTTGTACTAAAGTTCTCATCAGATACAGAAGTGGTTAGGGATGATTGAAGATGTAACACAAATGTATATAAGTAAGGTAAATAAATAAATAAATAAATGTAGTGCCCTTTGTATGTGGTCGATATGAGGTGCCATCTTGGGGAAAGCTTGTTTACAATATGAATTGCTTTACAAAAATGTCTGATTCTCACATTTCATTCTGTCTTCAGATGACTTTGAATCTGTAACTGGCTATCCTGAGCTTCATTAAATAAATATATATCAGGTCTTGTTTTTACATTCACCAAATACACTCCAAACTGGCCCTTCCCAATATTCTGTAACATAATTTCATTCTTAAGGATAAATATATTTTCGGTGAAGGAAGATGTGTTGTATTTAGAACAATGGCACAATCACTGTAGCTTGAGAGGGTCTAAAGGGACCAAATCTGGTCTGACCTTGGATGGGACACAATTCCAGTTGGAGTCATTTGACCATATTTTGAGGGCTTCCTGGCTCATTGAGGATCAGCAGCATACTCCTGATTGGAGTAGGAGCCACCCAGCAAACTAGAGAAAAGGCTAAAGAAATTATTATGGTTTGTTCTGTGAATAATTCTCTGGTTCCTCAGGAGGGGCACAATCCAGAGAGTTTGCTGCCTGCCAGGTTTGCACGTCATAATAAAGAAATAGACAAGTGGTTCTCAACCTGTGGGTCCCCAGGTGTTTGGGCCTACAACTCCCAAAAATCCCAGCCAGTTTACCAGCTGTTAGGGAGTTGAAGGCCAAAATATTGGGGGACCCACAGGTTGAGAACCACTGAAATAGACCAAAGGGTCAATGCATGTGAGAGACATTTGACCATGCACATTAGCATACTTGATCAAGCACAAGCTGTTATTCTCTCAAATCCCATTTTGTTGGCACATCTGAACTCAGGCATTACCAATGCAAGGAGATTGGGCAGGGCTTCCATTGGTTCAGGGTGAAGGTAATTTGAGTCCCACAACTGGCCAGCAGATGATAGTTGCAGTTAAAGTCCAGCTTCTTCAGCTCTGGAAAAGTTAGTTGCATCCTCACCTCAGCTTTCTGCAAGTTGGCTACTGTGCATGCATAAAAAGCAGAATTTGCAGTAATGTGTTAAAAGGCTTAACCAGGCATGGCTTTCTGACATGGCCCGGACTTTAAAATACTACTTTTTTTTATTAGTAGAATGACGTGTCTATAAACATTGAACCCCCTACTACATTTCTTCCCAACCACTTCCCTAACCCTACATATATCATTTTCTGTTCCTTTTCTTTCCTCACCAACCACTCATTTTAAAAAAAGAAAAGAAAAACAAGCAAGCAACCTGGAATTTGGAAGCAGGAAACCATGTGCAGAGTAAGCTATTATATGGAAATGCATTTAATTTCCTTATTGTACACAGCTCTGATTATTCCACTTGGCATGTTTAGGCTTTTGAGTTAGGTAATTGTGATCAAGTAAATGAAGGGCATTTGTAGGTTGGGTCTGTGTAAGAGCTTTGCACTTTTCTGAAATGGAGAAAGGGGGGAAATCTATTCAGGTTGTTTTGCTTCAGGGTGAACTTTTGTCTTGTCAGAACGAGCAAATGTAAGAGTCAGATTGGATTATCAAGTGCAGTCTCTGCAGCAGAGAGGCAGGTCCTTTTCTGTCTCCTCTAATTGTATCTGAGCTTTCGCAATCATGATGAATTTTAGCCATTCCAAAGCTGCCTTTGCAGCCTTCACAAACTGGCATCAACAATGATATATTTTACTTCTTTCCCATTAGTATCATTATTTGCTCAATAATTCAGTTTTTCTGTACTACAGTTCCTGGACCATGTGATCCTGAAGATTTAATTGATGGAATCATATTTGCTGCCAATTACCTTGGCTCTACTCAGCTTCTTTCGGACAAAACTCCATCCAAGAATGTGAGAATGATGCAGGCTCAGGAAGCTGTAAGCCGAATCAAGGTGGGGAATTTATCTTTTTATCTCTTGCTACTGATGTTTCAAAGCTACAGTCGGTGAAAGATGCATGTCTCAATTCCCTTATGCAAGATACTCCAATAATGATTTCGTGATTGGACTCCAAAGCCTTGATAAGTCATCTATTTGTATACAATATGCTGACTTCATTCTCTGCTAGTAGATTTGTACAATTCTGGGAAGTATTAAACATAATCTATAAGGGACATCTTGGGAAATTAATATTTTTGCACTTCTTCTAAACATATCATAGATCATCCAATGCATAAAGTGATCTATACGCTCTTCTGTGCTTCAGGCCCATGGTGGAGGGGGTTGATGGTACTGTGATCCAATCGCTTATATAGTCAGTGTCAACATATGCAGTGAGCCTGGACTTATCAGTGGGATCAAGAAAGAGAGAGATATATCAACTAAAAGATTTGAGATGTTTAAAATTATGTATTTTTAGTAGGCACCTGATAAATTCAGAGTTTATAAAACATATAGTCTTACATGGACTTAAACAACTTTTTAGTTTTATTTAGATTATATTTCAGACAATATACTGTGTCCGAGGGAGCATATTTCATGGCGCCTTACAAAATTTCCAAAGGCTAAGCATTTCTTTTATTTATGTTTATTCATCTCACCTACTGATTTGTCCTGTGATTCATAAAGGAAGTAACATGGTCTTAAGAGTTTTCTGCTCGGTATTTCTCTCAAAGGTCCTGAGAGTGGTGGAAGGGCATGTTATCTTTGTATTGGTGCCAGACCTTGACAATAATATATTTGTTGTGTCTGCAGCATAATGATCCCATTGGAAAATGTGGGGCTGTTTATAATTCAAAGCTATTTGGTTGCAGGAGAATCTGTTTTGTATAAGAACCCCTTGCAAATTAATTCTTTTACAATACCGAAACTTATAACCCCTTAGTCATGGCAAGACAGCTGCTGATTGCATCACCTCACCTGAAGCAACCAAAGACGAATGTCCCATAATAATATACATTGGGTTAGAAGTTGAGACCAAGGGAGTTGCTCATCATTATATCTAGAATAAGTATTCCAATGAATTTTTGTGGCTCAGTTTGTTTATCTTCATAGATTAATTTAAGTGTATGCATATTCTTACATATGTGGCAGAGAGGCAGAGAGACAGATAAACAGATGGAGCCCCGTTTCCAAGTGCCTCTAATAGGTTTGACACAAGGTAAAATTATGTTTCAGGAGATAGGGAGATGCCTTCAGAAATGGCATTCCTATGTTACGTTCTCGCTTTCTTCTGATGATGTTACCTGGTCCTCTGTCAAGAATAGCACATTATGTTCATGTGTGATTATGCTGTCCACAACTTGACACCAACCCTATTTGCATATTATACATACACATAAAGGGATCAATCTAAACTCAAAGGGCAATGGGATCTTGCTGTTGGCCCATTCCTGATTATTCACAGATTTCCTCAGATGTATTGCTGACATGAATATCGTAAGATTGACTCTGGGAAATCTGTGGTTATCCAGCACTCAGGAAATCCAAGGTATATAGGTTTTCCCTTATCACAGAAACATGGAATTAAACAAGACTGGAAAGTTAATCTAGGTAAGTAGTGCCCAATCTTTGGTCCTCCGGGTGTTTTGGATTGCAGCTCCCTCAGTTCCTAACAGCTGGTAAGATGGCTGGGATTTCTGGGAGTTGAAATCCAAAACAACTGGAGGAACAAAGGCTGGGAACCAATTATCTAGGTCAATCCCTTGGCATGGAGGAATCTAAGGCATGCCTCAGACATTGCCATTCAACTGCTGAGTCCATTGCAGAGTCCATTGCCTCCTGAGACAGTCTATGGCATTGCTGAAAAGGTATTATGACACTTAATGTACAAACCTAACATGTGGGCAGGGATGGGACAGAGAATGCTGTAGTTCTTCATAAGCACAGCCAGCTAAACTGCTAATTAAATCCTGTGGATCCATACCGCATATGTAATACACAAAGAATTAAATGAAACTACATATTGCAGGGAGAGAAAATTAGACTTTTCAGCACCATCACCATGGCTGTCATAGTATGGCCCACATGACAAGATATATCCTATTCAGATATATCTTGTTCCTTGGACAACCATCTTCATCTGCATCATCAGCAAAGCATTCTGCAAAAATTGCAGATGATTTTGAGAAGCTTTTGAGTGTATCTAAAAATACACTTTTGATGATGGCCATGGAATTATGTATGCAATAAAAGGAAATGTTTCATCTTTGAACCAGCTTTTAAAGCTGTGAGATGCCAAGGAATTTAAGTAGAAAGTTCCAGTATTTATATTTATTTGAATTTACAGACTTTTTATGGATGATTTTGGAGCCCAGAATAGAATTAATGAGTGTGTGAAGAAAACCTCACAATAGGATCACCATAAGTCAGAAATAACTTGAAAACATATAACACCTTTTTAAAAAGTAATTTTACTAAGTGTTATTGTCATTACAAGTTAAGTACCCAGGAAATTAGCATTCATAAGCCTCACTGATTTCATTGGAAAAATCAAACACCTATCTAAAACTCTCATTCAGAAATCCAACAAAGTGTCCAACATTGGCAGAAGTTTGGATGGTACCCCATACTGTAATATGTATCTCATTTTAAGCACAAAAAAACCTTCACACATACAAGTATTTTGTGTCTAAGACAATTAATTAACAGAAGTGTCCCCAATCTTTATTTCTATATGACTAAATGCCTTGTCATACCTTAGCTGACCCCCAAGTAAGATGAAAAATATATAAATATCTTGTAGCCCTTTGTTCTGAAATCAAGATAGGTCACATCATTATTTTCTTTGCTGTAGATCAGGGGTAGGGAACCTTTGGCCCTCCAGCTGTGGTGGACTTCAACTCCCACAATTCCTTGAGGCTCGGCATTCGCCCCAAAGGCTTACCTTGGCCCAATGCCGAGCCTCAAGGAATTGTGGGAGTTGAAGTCCACCACAGCTGGAGGGCCAAAGGTTCCCTACCCCTGCTGTAGATTCTTCATCAACTATTCTGTAATAGTTTCCAGTGGGAATTGTTGGTGGAATTAGCAGAAGTGATGTGACAGTATTGCTAATTTCAATTAGTTGAGTCCCTATTATCTCAATTCAGATTGCTAGACCTATTGAGTAAAGTGTTGATTAAATAAGTCCCAATCATCCAATGGTTTTAATCTGGTTGTGGCGAATAATTTTCTTCTGCCCTGAGAAATTATTTTCCACAGCCTTTTAAGATACCAGAGAATATTATAAATGTACAAAATTGAGATAAAAGAAAAGATATATTCTGACTCACAGCCTTCTTATCCACTTGAATGGAAGAAACTTTGAACATAAATGTGACTCCTCTCTTGGTGTTTATGAGGAAACATTACTCTATGGGTATGTTATGTAGTAACTGTGTGTGTTTCATAAGCCCTCTGCCCCAAAGTAGTGAATAGGGCAGCAATGTCTAAATTTAAAACATCATCACTGAAATATTTCTATCTGTATATATGTCTCTCTATTCCTTTCAAGTCAAGCCTGGTCTCCCTAGAGTTGTGCCTCACCTTTCCCTTAAAAGAGACTCAATGCCCTAAACAGTTCAGGGCCTGCCTATCTTCACAATCACATCTTCCCCTATGAACCAGCACGTACTCTAAGATCCTCTGGGGAGGCTCTCCTCTCACTCCTACCCACCGTCACAAGCACGGTTGGTGGAGACGAGGGAGAGAGCCTTCTTTGTGGTGGCCCCTCGGCTCTGGAACTCTTCCTAGGGAGATCAGACAGGTCCCCACTCTCTCCATTTTCCACAAGGAATTAAAAACTTGGTTGTTCCATTGCACCTTTGACTAGGAGGTTCACTAGAGAATTAGCCCAACCTTATCTAAGCTCCGGCATTTTAGTTGGCCCCTTTCCTGTACTTATGACACTTTAGTGGCCAAGGGCATTATCCTGGCAACCTAGACTTCTGACTATTGCACTTTCCCAAGGCTCCACCAAGGAATCATTGCACTTACTCTGAGCCCAAACACAGTTTCAGATTGACCATCCTGGGTATTGTTTTTATGATGTTGATTTTAATGTTTTTATTATTTGTATTGACAAAGGCTTTCATGGCTGGAATCATTAGGTTCTTGTGGGTTTTTTCGGGCTATAGGGCCATGTTCTAGAGGCATTTCTCCTGACGTTTTTATTGTTTGTTATTTATTGTTTTTACTGTGTTTGTTTTACTTGTAATCCTTGGGCTTGTCCCTCTATAAGCCGCCCCAAATCCCTTCAGGGAGATGGAGGCAGGGTATAAAAATAAAGTTATTAGTATTATATATTAGCTCCTAATACATAAATAAAATGGTTGTTTTGAAGTGTAGCTTAATCAAGTAAATAAATGTTTTGACTGAGGTTTCACTGACTTGATGGGCAAGGAACTGAAAATAGCTAACTCATTTGCTGTGCTGTATTTTTATTAAAGGTGTCCATGTCTCAACCTGCCATAGCATATTAGGATTTGAATTCTGTATGCCTTCTACTATCGTATCTTAATCCCACAAACAATTTAATACATAGACTTGAGTAAGAGTTAGCATTTCATTTGGGGTTTTGAGTTGTAACAATCTCATTTAGAAAATGGTCCCTCGGATGCCATTTAAAGACCTATGTTCTGGTTTTAAGTAAGGATTGGTGCTGTGTGCATTGTTTCAGCTGATGCTTTTGTGTGGTAGAAAGCTAAACACGAGCTCTTGTATGTAAAAACCTCTCTTTCGTTTAGCTCTGGTACCTGCTAGTGATTTAGACTAAACAGCTAGATTCAAAGACAGCTGGATTGAAAGACAGTTGTCCACAGTCATGCACGCCACCATCTTCCATATGGATTAGTTCTGCAGCTTTGTAGAGATAGTAATGCTTTGAGATTCTCCTTGCCATGGGAAGAGGATCTATAAGGCAAACCACCTGGCTGAGGATGTTTCAGGAAGCCTCCTAAGAAATAAGAGTTAATTATTTCTACATACCAAGCTTAGGATAGGATGATTAAGAATTGTGTTAAAGCATTAGGACTCTTCCTCTTCTCTTCCTCTGAATTAACTGAAGGCTTTCATGGCTGGAATCACTGGGTTGTTGTAGGTTTTTTGGGCTATATGGCCATGTTCTAGAAGCATTCTCTCCTGACATTTTACCTGCATCTATAGCAAGCAACCTCAGAACTCGCAACCTCTGAGGATGCTTGCCATAGATGCAGGCGAAACATCAGGACAGAATGCTTCTAGAACATGGCCATATAGCCCAAAAAAACTACAACAACCCAATTAACTGATGGTTTAGTACTGCAAAAGTGTAGCAACATCCTAAAATAACAATTTGTGACCTTCCGGAGATTGTTGAGTAGCCACTTTCTTCACCCCTGGCCAAGTGGATAGTTTCAGTGGTAAAAGATACCAGGAGATGTATTACAATAGCAGCTGGAGACCACAATTAGCGCATGCTTACTTCTGTAGAATAATCTTTCTCCTGATAGCAGAATCACCATTAAACTCAAGGTAGTTTTTAAAATACCATATTTCTTCAATTGTAAGACACCATTGATTGTAAGACACACCGTAATTTCAGTAACGCAACCACTAGCAAAAATACATAGGATACACTTAACGATTCTAAGACGCACCCCATTTTTAGAGATGTATCTATAGGAAAAAAGTGCATCTTAGAAATTAAGAAATACAATACTCATAAATGGGCGAAATGTTTTCCTTTTTTGTATGTGTGTCTCAGTCTTTATGTCTACATGGGCTTCCCTTATCAAGCATAATCTAATGTGTGGCCTTGTAAAAAGAGCTAAAATTTGACTAGGTGACAGTCACAGTCTCAGATGACATAGTATCCCTGCTTGATTTGGAGTCTCTGCAAGTTCTTCTCTAACTATTCTCCTGTCTCTGTTTGTTACATGCTAAGCAGATGGCCCAGAAATTAGCCAAAAGCAGAAAGAAGGTGCAGTACAACCTCATCAGCTTGATGTTTGCCTGTTTTTGTTGTTTTTCTTTTATGTTTTTTCCCTCATTTCTTACTTTTGCTTTTCACATTTTTTGAAAACTTTTCTGTATCCAGCAAGCTTTTTCTTCAAATTTGTTTGAACCGTCATATAAATTGACACTTCAGATAACCAGTTTGCTCTTCTTTGTTACATATCATTAGCCATTCCATGTTAGAATGATAGCAAGATAATTATTAGATTCAACCAAAAATAATTAGCAAGATGTTCCTAGAAGTATCTTTCAAATATAGAGCTAATGGATAAGGCTTTTTGTCATATGGTATATTTTACAAAGTCAATTTATTTTCTCTATTTTTTTGGTTAAGATGTTGTTTCATTTGATCTATGAAGGTTTCAGATTGCTGGATGCAAAAAAAGTGTAATTGTATGAACAAAATTGAAGCCTAAGGTGCTAACTGCATAGATATCTGGGATTTAACCTGAATTTGAGGTGCTTCATTTCAAAGGGTTTTGGACAAAATGGGCTTATAGATCAGGTCTGTACAACTTGCTGCCCTACAGGTGTTTTGGACTTCAGTTCCCAGAATTCCTGACTACTGGACAAACTGGCTAGGGCTTCTGAGAGTTAGAATCCCAAATATCTGGAAGGCCACAGGTTTTGTAGGCCCATTATAGATGTTGAATATCAGATTAAATCAGTGGTTCTGAACCTGTGGGTCCCCAGGTGTTTTGGCCTACAACTCTCAGAAATCTCAGAAATCCTAACCAACTGTTAGAATTTCTAGGAGTTGGAGGCCAAAACATCTGGGGACCCACAGGTTCAGAACCACTGGATTAAATGCTGTTGTACTTCTGTCGTCTGACAACAGTGACCTTCAATCCAGAATTGCATTATTGTCTTATTTCTTTCCAATGATTGAACTGTTTTCAGGTGTGGAGGGAAGGGCTGGTATGTCGGTTTTGCTGTCCTTTGTCTGAACCATCCCACCAAAATCTATCCTTAAATTGTTCATACTGAAATAAGTTAATGCAAAGGAGTGCTTTTCAGAGGACATGGGTGAAAATGATGGGTTTTCACAGATGCAGTGATGGGACTTCCTTTGTATGACAATCCTTCTCCTTGGGGAATGAGTGGTCGACACATATGTATATTTTATTTTCTTCTTCCCAGAGTAGCAAGGACGCCCTTTGAAATTTATCTAGTCTTTCTGTTACTCTGCTAACCAGGGAAGTGAATTTTGTTCCTCTGTCCTACTGTAGGCTCCACTTCCTTAAAAATGTACTTTTCGATATCAGTCATTTCCACGTCCCACATCAAGCCCCCGTGCTTTCCTTTAAAAGAAAACTATTGTTCTGGGGAGCCTTCTTGAGGTTCTCGTTGAGGAAAAGCATCCAAATGAGTGGAATCTGGAGATGTTTAAAATAGTCAGCCGTGCAGGTTGTATGTTGCCCATTCCACCTTGAAAGAAGAGATGGGCAACATACAGCTTTCATGGTCTGGTAGCCTGGATACACAGTCCTTCTTGCTGAAAAGTAAAAAAAGCTTCACTTTCATACTGGGGAAAAATATTTTTCATGAACAGGTATAATGGACAAGGAATGGGTTTCATTGTTTTGTGTGATCCTCACGGTGCTAATTCCCATTTCAGTCCCGTGTATGGCTTCCATACCTTGCTGCTTATCATAACTTCTGAAATCTAATAATACATTTTGCATTGCTCACCTGGCGACTGCATCTTAATGCTTTTTAAAATTTGTGACCTAACACCCCTGTGTAACTTAAAGCTTCTCTTACCCCCACCCCCCCACAACATTAATTACAACTGACTTTAATTGCAGGCCCCTGAAGGTGAATCTCAACCCATGACAGAAGTCGACCTTTTCATCTCAACACAAAGGATAAAAGTGCTGAATGCTGACACTCAGGTCAGTTTGAGTCTGTATCTGCATTTGTGTAAATAATATCAACCCCTTTACTGGAATTGAATGATGCCATTATATAAGTGACTTAACCCAAACCTGTTTATTTACATTTGTATCTTGCTCGTATAAGGTAACCTTTTCCAGATCATTTGTCTAACTATTCCCAAATGACACCATCAATATTGGTTTACTTTTTTATCTTCCTCTTATCCACATCAAAAACCTTTTTTTACAGTTTTAAGACTAACTTATTTTTTAATTGCTTGTTACTGAAAAGCAAGGATGAATAATGCTAACAAATGCTGGGTTAAGGAGAAATAAACTGCTAAATTTGTTCACAACTTTTAGTTCTTTCATTTTAAATATGCATGTGCTTCCTTATTGGAAAGTAATAACAAAGTTAATATAGTTAGAAACATATTTCAGATGTATTTGGTTGACAAACTAATATACTCCGATGCTCTGCAAAGAGACCAGTAACCATGATCTCGTACTGCCAGAATTCACAGTGTGGCAGGTGGGAACTTCTACTCTTCTTTGCTTTTGTAGGAGGTGATGAAAATTCCCTTTAATTTGGAAAACGTAAGTCTTTGTGTGTACTGAATGCTAATGTTCTTAAATTGTTGGGTATCAATGGCAATGAATGTTAACGGGAGGGTTTGTCTTCTCTAGGAAACTATGATGGACCACCCTCTGAGGACCATTTCCTACATTGCAGACATTGGGAATATAGTCGTATTGATGGCTCGCAGGCGAATGCCAAGATCTAATTCCCAAGATAACGTGGAGGCATCTCATCCCTCTCAGGATGGGAAGAGGCAGTACAAAATGATCTGCCATGTCTTTGAATCTGAGGATGTAAGGATGTTTTATTGTTTCTGCATTCAAATTGAGCATAGAGTTGTCCTAAAAGCAGGAATATTTGATGCAGCTGCTAAGCTGTGAAGTTTTAAAAGTGGACTAACTTACACTGAGCCCAATATGAGAGGCAACAATCCTTTGGTTAGGTAGCGCGGTGAGTCTAAACCTCTCATGATTTGTGGTACCCTATATTTCATATATTCCAACTAGCAGAGACAAGAGAAGCAAGTTGACAACTCAGTCATGGGTATACACATGAAGAAACAATTAGATAGAAAGTGTTGAAATACCTCATTGGATGCTGTTTTGCCTCATGTTTTAGAGTCAAGTTTTGTTGAGTGAGCTTAGATTGGAGCTTTCCAAACTGTATGTTGCAACACCTTAGTGTGTCGTTACAGTGAATATGTGTCACGCAAATGTAATGAAAAATAATTTTAAAAACTTGGGAATATATGTTATTATCTTATAAATCATATCTTTTCTTGAGATATATTGTGTCGTTATTACAATTTATGTTTCCATATCTCTTATAAGGTTTGGCTTCACCTCCGGCTTGCTAGTAAAACTTAAAGTACTGTGTCGTGAAATAATGCATTTCTAAAAAGTGTGTCGCCAACATGAAATGTTTGGAAAGCTCTAGGCCAAATCATCCAAGGTGGAAGGTCAACATGGGTTATGGAAATTTGTTGATTTTGCTGGATTGTTTTTTCCTGTGTCAGGAGCAACTTGAGAAACTGCAAGTTGTTTCTGGTGTGAGAGTATTGACCGTATGCAAGGACGTTGCCAGGGGATGCCCTGATGTTTTGATATTTTCCATCCTGTGGGAGATTTCTCTCATGTCCCCATATGGGAAGCTAGAGCTGAGACAGGAACTCACCCCTCTCACCGGATTCGAATCGCCAACCTGTCAGTCAGCAGTCCTGCCGGCACAAGGGTTTATGCCAGTTGTTCTCAACCTGTGGGTCCCCAGGTATTTTAACCTACAACTCCCAGAAATCCCAGCCAGTTTACCAGCTGTTAGGATTTCTGGGAGTTGAAGGCCAAAACATATGGGGACCCACAGGTTGAGAACAGGTTTAACCCATGGAGCCACTGGGGGCTTCATCTTGCTATGAACTAAATAAACCAATCTAGTTTAGGCATGGGCAAACTTCAGCCTTCCAGGTGTTTTGGACTTCAACTCCCATAATTCCTAACAGCCTACTGGCTGTTAGCAATTGTGAGAATTGAAGTCCAAAACTCCTGGAGGGCCAAAGTTTGCCCATGCCTGGTCTAATTGAAAAAAGCCTCTCATCGACATAGAATGACCAGAAGGGGTTACTGAAAAATGCTCCCTTTTTGTGGAAGTGATGCAGATCCTGGTGTAGAACTAAAACCTCAGCAAAAGAGATCTATTTGGGATCTATAACATTTCTGAGATCTCTTCCCTTGGTGGCTTTTAGTGCATTGTGGGACTCAGCAACCTTTGTTGAAATGAATCACTTCATCATACGACAGCCATGCTGTACCATTCTGTGGTTGTACCTCCATCCTCCACTGATGACTGGTTTCAGAAGGACTTGCCCACTGAAGGACATGATGCAGCCCTTTCGGGCTTCCACTTAACTAATTTGGTGCATCTGAATTTGTTCCTCTTTCCTTCCATGTTTGGCAACCTCTATAGGCCCAGCTAATTGCACAGTCCATAGGGCAGGCTTTCAGTGTAGCCTACCAGGAATTCCTGAGGGCCAACGGGATAAATCCAGAAGATCTGAGCCAGAAGGAATACAGCGACCTGCTGAACACCCAGGACATGTACAATGATGACCTGATCCACTTCTCCAAGTCCGAAAACTGCAAAGACGTATGTCCCCATTTTAAACACAATATTGTTGACTTGTCTGACATCTTCCCCAAGCAACCTGGTGCTAGAAACAATCATGCAGCCAATAGCATTACTCATGAATTGTTTCCATACAAACAAACAGAATCTTGAGCCTCTAGGACAGGCATGAGCAAACTTTGGTCCTCCAGGTGTTTTAGACATCAACTCTTACAATTCCTAACAGTCTGTTAGGAATTGTGGGAGTTGAGGTCTAAAACACTTGGAGGGCTGAAATTTGCCCATGTCTGATCTAGAGTTACCAAAAGCAATATTTTTTCCTCCCTTCAATTTTTTTTTAAAAAAGAAGGGACTGATCAGACTAAAGGTATGGTCACTGAATTGATTACCATATGCTATGTACTCTGTTAAAGAAACAGCTTTCAAATATTTAGCATGCTACACATGAATGCAGTGCGACTTAAGAACATAAACTGTAAATGCAATCAGCAGCTTCATTTCTATTGATATAACAAGGTTTTCAAGAAAGCTTGTGAATTTTTTAAAAATAAAACCATATATTTACAGCTGGTTTCTTAGATAAAATGCTAAATTCTACACTTAAGAGAAATAATCTTACAAAAACTGCAGTTTGGGGGCATTTCAATGCACAGTAATAATGCCCCCGTGTTTCCTTACTTTATTCCACTCTATTATTGTACACATAATAATTGTGTACTCTCTTTTTCAATCAAATATCTTTTCAAATGTCTTCATTATTACAGGAGAAAGAGGCAAAAATATTGTGGTAGGGAAAGCAGCAGTTTCCGTATCCTGCATTTCATAAATAAAAATGACTTCCGTTCCCATATTTTTTTGTTTCTCTCAATTCAGGTTTTCATTGAGAAGCAAAAGGGGGAAATTCTGGGTGTAGTGATTGTAGAGTCTGGATGGGGATCCATCTTGCCGACAGTTATCATTGCCAATATGATGCACGGAGGACCTGCCGAGAAATCTGGAAAGCTGAACATAGGAGACCAGATCATGTCAATCAATGGGACCAGTTTGGTTGGCTTACCACTCTCTACATGCCAGAGTATCATAAAGGTATTGAAAATGCATTCAATTTAATACATCCTAGATTTACATGCACCAGCAAAGAGGGATGATCTAGTTCAGGCATGGGCAAACTTTGGCTTTCCATTTGTTTTGTATTTCAACTTCATAACTCCTACCAGTTGTTGTTGTCATTCTGTTTATTTATACCCTGCTATAACTCCCGAAGGAGACTCAAAGCAACTTAACATAAAAGCATCAGCATAATAATTTTAAAATATACAAGTATATGAACATTAAAACAGGATTAAATATAACCAGTATTTTAAAATTACCAGTTAAAAATCTATTAAACACATTCAAAGTTAAAAACCACAGCACCCCCTTCATTGATATTAAACATCTTCAGCTTTAAAAGCCTATCTGGAAAAAAAAAGGTTTTGGTCTGCCACCAGAAGGACAGCAGAGAGGGGGCCATCCAGGCTTCCCTGGGCAGGGAGTTCTAGAGTCTCAGGGCAGCCACTGAGAAGGAAGGCCTGCTTTCTTGTTCCCACCAACTGAGCTTGAGATGGAGGTGGCACCGAGAGAAGGGCCTCTCTTGAACATTTCAGTGCTCAGACAGGTTTGTACAAAGGGATGCAGTTGGCGAAATAGCCTGTATCTGAACCGTCTAGGGCTTTAAAGATCATAATCACTACCTTGAATTGTGCCCAGGAACAGATTGGCAGCCAGTGGAGCTGCTGACACAGGAGGTTGTCCGCTCCGTGTAGCCAGCCCCAGTGAGCAACCTGACTGCAGCTCTTTGGACCAGCTGAAGTTTCCAAGCAGTCTTCAGAGGCAGCCCCATGTAGAGTGCATGTACCAGATGGGATGTAACTAAGGCGTGTACCGGTATGGCCAGATCTGGCTTCCCAAGGAATGGGCACAGTTGGCGCACAAGTTTTAATTGTGCAAAGGGCCTCCTGCCTGCCACCAGTACCTGGGCCCCCAAACTGCAAACCTGTGTCTTCAGGGGGAGTGTAACCCATCCAGCACAGGCTGAGTCCCTATTCCCTGGTCTGCTTTCCAACTGACCAGGAGTACCTCTGTTGTCTCAGGATTAAGTTTCAATTTGTTGGCCCATGTCCTGACCATTACTGATGACAATGAACAGCTTCTTTAGCATTAGTTGGAAAGGAGTAGTAGAGCTGGGTGTCATCCACATATAGGTGGCACCGTACTCCAAAACTCCGGATGACCTTTCCCAGTGGTTTCATGTATATGTTAAACAGCATGGGGGACAAAATGGAACCCTGAGGAACCCCACTGGTCAACAGCTGGGGGTTTGAACAGGAGTCCCCCCCCAGCACCACCTTATGGGAAGGATCTCCAGGAAGGACCAGAGCCACTGTAAGGCAGTTCCTCCCAATCCCATCCTGGTAAGATAACCCAGAAGGGTACTATGGTCAGTGGTATCAAAAGCCACTGAGAGATCCAGGAAAATCAACAAGGACACCCCCCCCCCAATCTAGCTCTCTTCATAGGTCATCCAGCAAAGCGACCAAAGCTGTCTCTGTTCCATAGCCAGGCCTAAAACCAGATTGAAATGGCTCTAGATCATTGGTTCTCAACCTGTGGGTCCCCAAATGTTTTGGTCTTTAACTCTCAGAAATCCTAATAGCTGGTAAACTGGCTGGGATTTTTGGGAGTTGCAGGCCAAACACCTGGGGACCCACAGGTTGAGAACCACTGATCTAGATAATCTGTTTCATCCAGAAAACCTGGAGTTTGGAGGCCACCACACACTCCAGAATCTTGCTCAGAAATGGAAGGTTGGACATGGGCCGATAGTTGTCCATTACAGTGGGGTTCATGGATGACTTTATAAATATAGGCCTACAACTGCCTCCTTTAGGCAAGTTGGAACTTTGTCTTGTTTTCCAAGGAGGCATTAACTACGCTCTTCACCCACTCTGCCAGTCTCCCTCTGGCCTGTTTGATCAGCCACAATGGGCAAGGATCTAGAATACACGTGGTAGCTCTCATTTCTCCAAGGATCCTTTCTACATCCTCAGGCTGCACAAATTGTTGGGAATTGTGGGATTTGAAGTCCAAAACACCTTGAGGGCTGAAGTTTGCATATGCCTGATCTAGTTTGTTAGAGAGGTGATGCTTGAAGCTGGAAGTACATTTCCAGCTCTGTGTGTGTCTTTTTGCCCATCGTACTGTATTGTAGCTTATTTGCTTACAATTCCTATACAGTGGAATGCCCTGTTCCAGTCTTATTAAATCAACAGCCATTATTCTGTGATTGGGCTTATATTTCTCAATTTTATCACAGTTTGCTATTCCACTGTTCCTTCTCTCCTAATTCCTACTGATTACTTTTCCTCAAGAGAACTGTGCTTCTCTCATGTTGCTATAGAGACACCACGATGTCTCCAATTCAGAGCCCTGCTTTTTCTGCAAAATCTTTCAGATGTCATTGTTCTTTTGCCTAAAAGATTATTTCCAACCCATAGATTGTCACTCTGAAATGCAAACTTAATGGACATTTTGCATGTCTACTTCTAAACTGTATATTGTGGTGATATATGGGCTACAGCTTGAAAGCTAGATTGTGTTATATTGAATATGGTGGTTGCTAAGGGTAGCTGTTTTGGTGTGAAATGAGACAGTATAGTAAATCATTGCAACAGTAGTCTTAGCTTTCTTTGTTGGTCATTTAGCAGTTAGGCCTATTATCTTTGCTGGGGGAAAGACAAGATTCTATTGGTTTTTCTGATTACTCTGTGGTGTTTGCTGCCATCTCCATGGGCTCCCTCCAGATTGCCTATCTGAGTTAGAGGACTAATGTATCCATTGTGTCTTTTCTTGAATCGAGATGATCTTGTTAGTATTGAGCATCTTCTAACGTCATGTCAAAAGAAAGGGTGAAAAATAATGTAAGTTATCTCCTGTTGTGCTCAGTCCAGAGGCATGAGTCATAAGGTCTCTGGAATAATTTTGTAGATTCTGTTTTCCCAATGGATTCAGATGGAGCTGAATTTAATTGCTTGCTCTTTTACTCTATGTGGTCTAGAAGTTCGTTTTTTCCTAACTGTGTCTGTCTTTCATGTTTTCCCTTATCTTGGTTTTTATCATTCTGTAATATCATCACTAAATCTAGAATCATAGACTCATAGGAACTGGAAGATACCCTAAGGGCCATCCATTCCAACTCTTGCCGGGCAGAAATACACAATCCAAGAACTCTCAACAGGTGGCTATCCAGCTTCTCTTTTAAAAACTCAAGAGAAGGAGACTTCACTATACTCTGAAGGAGTGTATTGCACTGTTGAACTGTCCTTACTGTCAAGAAGTTCTTCCTAATTTCAGGTGTGCTTTTCTGCCATTTCGACTGCACTATTCTGTTTCTTAATCCCAGAGCACTAAAAACCAAATCAGCTCCATCTTTAATGTGACATTGTTTCAAATATTTAAACATGGCTGTCTTGTCCCCTTCTCAAAGCAAACATACCCAACTCCCTAAGCTGCTCCTCATAGGGCTTGGTTTCTAGATCTTTGATCACTTTGGTCACCTTGTTCTGGACACATTTTAGCTTGTCAGTATCCTTCTTGTATTGTGGTGTCCAAAACGGGACACAGTATTATTCCATATGAGGTCTAAATCTAATTTTTTAAAATATACTTTCCCTTCTTTATCTCCTGCGAATTATGGGAGACAAGGAAGAAGAAGGTCACCTGGGCAGTGTGCCCTTACATCAGTTAACAGGACCATAATGAATTTGAGGAGTTGGTTGCTGTAACACAACAAATAAAATGATACAAGATAGACTAAGAGGCATGAAATATTTTTAAAAATACAGAAATGTACAGATTTGAAGGGAGAGAATAAGAAAATAGAAGCAGTATTATATTCATCTACCTATTTGCTGTTCAAATATGGGGAGACACTGCACCACAAGACTTAGCCTGCAGATACTAAACAGAAATTACTATTTCTACTCAAGTATAAGTCTAGGAATTTTAGTTTAAAAATTGACCCCCAAAAACTTATCCACAAGTCAATAAATTTACTACAGTATTTAACTTTTATCAAAAAAAATCACCATCACCTCTCTACTTTTTCCACCACAGTTCTGCTTCTGGCCATTTTGAATGCCTGGGTGGAAAAATGACAGAGAGAACTGGGTCCCTTTCTCCTCTCAAGCCTCAACTTACCCATGGGTCACATCAAAACCCTAATTTTGGCCCTCCAAGCCTGTCGACTTGTACATACATATGATCGTTGGGAAGCGCCCGGTGGCGCAGTGGGTTAAACCGCTGAGCTTCTAAACTTGTTGACTGAAAGGTTGCTTATTTGAATCCAGGGAGCAAGCTTGTTTTCTGCTTCCCTGGAGACTAGGACGTGGAACAATGGCTTCAAACTACAAGAAAGAAGATTCCATCTGAACATGAGGAAGAACTTCCTGACTGTGAGAGCCGTTCAGCAGTGGAACTCTCTGCCCCGGAGTGTGGTGGAGGCTCCTTCTTTGGAAGCTTTTAAACAGAGGCTGGATGGCCATCTGTCAGGGGTGCTTTGAATGCAATATTCCTACTTCTTGGCAGGGAGTTGGACTGGATGGCCCATGAGGTCTTTTCCAACTCTATGATTCTATGAGCGGCGTGAGCTTCCGCTGTCAACCCCAGCTTCTGTCAGCCTAGCAGTTCAAAAACATGCAAATGTGTGTAGATCAATAGGTACCTCTCCAGCGGGAGGGTAAGGGCGCTCCTTGCAGTCATGCCGGCCACATGACCTTGGAGGTGTCTACGGACAATGCTGGCTCTTCAGCTTAGAAATGGAGATGAGCACCAACTCTCAGAGTCATACACGTCTGGACTTAATGCCAGGGGAAAACCTTTACCCTACCTTTATCTATATATGGTAGTTAAAAGTCTGGTCTTTCAAGTGGTAATACTCAGTTTTTGGAATGATCTCACCAAGCAGATTTTTCTGTTGCTGTCGCATTAGCCATTAAGGCATTAAATAAAAGCTATTTTGTTTGCTTAGATCTTTTCTTGAACACGTC